CCAGACACGACTAATGGGACTGCCATAGGACCGCCGATCAGGCTAGGGGTGGTTGACTGGGGGGTCAACGGGGCGGCAGCCCTACGGCAGTCCCATGTCGTGTCTACAATCAAAAAGAACATGTCAGTGGGGGCGCTGTGGAGGCCGTCAACTGGAGTCTGAGAGCGAGGCCTGGACGGAGGCCGAACAAAAACTGGCGTGTTCACATGCCCTAGGTTTAGAGGGTCCAAGTACCTTCTGAGGAGGTACTTGGAGCCCTAGGGATGGTTTGGACAAGCACGGTTTTCAGCCACTTGTCGGTGTAGAAGGGTTGCGAATTTATTTCTGTATATTTTTTCGTTTTTTTGATTTTTTTTGTTTTTCGTGTTTCGTGGCAGGTGCAGTACTTTGTGGACCTTGCAAAGCACATTTCGTGGCAGGTGCAGGACTTTGTGGGCCTTGGAGTGCAGAGTTTGTGGCAGGCGCAGGACTTTGTGGACCTTGAAGTGCAGATTTCGTGGCAGATGTAGGACTTTGTGTGTGTGGAAGTGTAGAGTTGGTAGCAGGTGCAGGACTTTGTGGGCCTTGGAGTGCAGATTTCGTGGCAGGCGCAAGACTTTGTGGACCTTGAAGTGCAGCTTTCGTGGCAGGTGCAGTACTTTGTGGATGTTGAACTGCAGAAAGATAGAAAGATAAATGGATAGATAGATAGATTAGATTAGATTAGATTAGATAAGATAGATAGATGGATAGAGGAGGCATATTTGCTTGGTTAGAAAGTTTTGCACCGGGGAGTTCACCTTAAAATATTGCTTTCGTGGCAGGCACGGGTGTCGGGGATGAAGTGCAGATTTCGTGGCGCGGGGGGGGGTGGGGGGGGGGGGCGGCGCCCCCCCCAGCAGCACACCAGATCCAAAGGTGAGCAGCTCGTGCTTGCTTGCTTGCTTGCTTCCTTGTTTGGTTTCGTCTCTGCAACGAAAACAACCGGAAAAGCAAATACAAAAAGAGAAAGGAGAACAGCTGCCAAAAGAAAGAAAGAAAGATAGATAAATAGATAAATAGATAGGTACAAACAGATAGATGGATAGGCCAAAAAGCCAAAAGCCACAAAAGCCAAAAGCCACAGAAGCCACGAAAGCCACAAAAGCCAGAAGCCACGAAAAACAAAAAACATCCAAAAAAGAAACAAAAAAAAACAAAAATAAATACCCCTCCGTGTAGAAGTGGTGCGAGAAAAAAGAGTCCATTGGGACTGCCGCCTTCTGCGCTGCGAAAGGCACCAACATGTCCCCCCCATCCTTTTCTTACGCAAATCCAAGGAACCAAATACCATGCCTGACAAACCAAATGGCATGGAACTGTATATATGCAAGGAACTGTATGTGTCCACATACAGTTCAGTTTTACCATGCAAATACCATGCCTGACAGGATGCGTCCTGTCAGGCCAAATCATCCAGGCCAAAGGAAATCCACCCTCAGGCGCCAAAGACCGTCTGAGACGTCGCTCCCCCCGGTCTCAGACGTAGGTCCGACGAGCGCTGCGACGTCTCGGGTCGGTCGAGCGACCCGCCTGCAGGGTCGTCTTGCGGAGCCAGTCCTTGGGCACGGGGCCGCCATCTTTGGGCTTCACATAGAGCCTGAGGCTTCGTAACGCCCGCGTGGAAGTGAGTCCGGCATCCTCTGCAAGGGACTTGCTTGCAGGGCTGGACCCAAGGCGTTGAAGAGCGAGAGGCTGCGGTGGGGGCTTCTTGCAGGGCAAACTCAACTGGGTTGTTTTGGTGGGGAACTCTGGGTTGAGAAATGGCGCTGATTTTTGTGGCGGGGAATCCGGACCTGGATGTCCTAGAGATTGCCATGCAGGAACCTTGTTGTCATTGTTTTTAGCTGCAGGTCATAAAGCATACATGGCAGCAATGGGCTTCAAAGAGCAGATTCCAAGAACATAATGGAAAGATCGGACCCCCCCAAAGGGCTGTGACATGCTATAGGTGAATTCCCTCCAAGCTCTTACAGTGACACGAAGTGGCGTTTGCCCCCAAACCCACCATCAAACTCTCCCACACTGTGCACAGGATGTGAGAGGATCTTCACACAAGCTGAAGTCTTTAACATTCTCGTGGCGTTGCACCCGCTCTGCATGTCAATGGGTGATTCTCATCGTCTATTTATCTATGTTAAGGCTCCCCCGGAAAGCATGGGTCCAAGATAGCAACCATCAAGACGTTCTTTGATTCTATCGAAGTCTCATCACCAGTCAACTGGACGGCACAGGATGGCTAAAGTAAGGAGTGCTCTGATGCCTGGCCGCTGGACTGATAATCAATGCAAATCTCTGTACTTTGTGCCTGAAACTGACTCGCCAAGCGTCTTCCCCGTTGTGTGATTTAAACACATTCAACCTTCAAGATACTTCAACCTTGCTGAAGCAAGGGGCATGAGCAGTGCAGCAAGTATGTTCACGCGCAAGAAATCCAAAACCGTAGTCGACATACAGGCATACAGGATCATACAGGTTAACACTTCAGAAAGGGGGTCCAACTCGAGGAGACCCATCAAACATCAAACGATCAGTACCCCCCAAAAGAAGGGATCGCTCTTGAACTTCCTTACCTCACTCCACCCAACCTATCTCAACCTCCACCCCTTGTGGCCACACGTGTGCCCACGCACCACTGAGCTCCCCAGCGTCACTCCAGTCTTGTAGGGGATCGACCCTCCCATCCCACCCTGAGCGGCGCCAAAGCGGCAAAGCAGCGCTAAAGCTCGGTCGTCGGTTGGGGGGGTTTCTGGGGGCGAAACCGGACCAGGTGGCTCGTTTTGCAGGTTGGAGCGATGTTTGGTGCAATGGTTTGGCGCAATGTTTTTCACCATCGCGGGACACAACAAGAATTTCATTGGCCAAACATCATGCCTGGCAAGCCAGTTCGTTCGTTCGAGGGGCTCATACGACCTACGGCTTCCAATCCCACATTCCCACCTTTTGGGGACACGTTCCATGCGGTTTTTCCTCCATTGGGCCATTTCCTTCTTCGTCTTCGCAGCCATGTCTGCCGGAGCCATGAATGTCTCGCAGACCCCCAGGGTCGATCTTGACCCATCGGATGGACAGCATCGAGATCTGGTTTCCCCAAAGGTTTCCTGCCCAAACATGTAGCTTGGAGATGCTTGGAGGCTATTGGTGGTTTTAAAGCATGTTGAACTCCAAGTGTAGGGACCCCACATGGTCCCAAACCCGACCTTCGAAGGAGCTTCCAGGTAGGGGGGGCTTCTTTTTGAGCCTCCAGTGTCCCATCTCAGGATCAGAAGTGAAACAACCATGACACAAAACCACCTAACAACACCATACCCAGACACTCCATGTATGCCTACATTGGGGTGGTTTTGGGGGTCAATGTAGGCATATACCTTCAGTTCGTGACCGAACTTGATCACCTGGTTGGTTCAGTCACGAACAAGCCTCCTGTTTGGGTCACAAACAGGAACCTCCAAAAGGTCACGTACTGAAGAAGCTGGTTTTCCACCATATGAAGAATAGGTGGAGCGGCGCTTGGCGCAGGCGCTCCAAAAGTTGGATGTACCGATACCTACACTGTGGACCGTTTTTGTTTGCGGAGTTGGATCGGGAACGGATCCATTCAAAGCAACGATGCACCCCATCAATCCCAACCTATAAAGTACTGGAACATAAACACATAGTATATATAATAGTATACATAGTAGTATGTATAACAGTATAATAGTATAGCATAGTATATAGTCAGTATAGTGCTCGATGAACTTGGATAAAGATATGCCAAGAGAGAATGCCCAACTGCCCATTCGATGCGGCGCTCGCACACTGGAGGACCTCTCCACTTCGACCGCCCCCGCCTCACGCAAAGCCCTCGCGGATGGCCCGTTCATGGCTGCGGACGTCCGGGCGCAGGAATGGCCAAGGTGTCTGGATGTTGGTCCACCTGGTTTTCTGAAGCCTGTTGAGTCGAACACTTAAGATTTGTAATTTTTGGAGGGGCTGTGCCCTGCTGAAAAGCAAGAACTGGAAACACGATTCTCAACAGCACCTTCAACTACAACCCAAAGAAGGTACCCTTGCAGCATTTGCAGGAACAGCTGAAGAGCATGCGCTGAGAGCCATGCCCACCCAGATCGGGCCCTGATCAAGGAAAATCATCTGAACCTAGTTGGAGGGTGATGTTCTTGTTTGTAAGACTGTCAGCTCTGCTAGCTCAGTGATGTTTCCAGCTGCTTTCGTCTTCATTGGCAGAGGGTGTGCTCCATTCTAGCGCCTGTGATGTGCAGCATGTGCTAGGTGGTTACTTTGACTGCACCACCCGGCATACACAAGAAACACAATGAAGAGGAATATATATATATATATATAGCCTTGGCCTTGGCCTGAGGTCTTTCAGCACGTTTCTCCAATTGTAGTGCAGTACAGTGCAGTCAAGTGCATTAACCGTCTCTGTTCCTGACTGAGCCTTAGATCTTGGAAAGCAACCATGGCAATTCTTCTTACAACATGTCTGTTCCATCTGATGCATCCCATGTCTTTTGCTTCTGCCATCTGTCTTGATCCGAAATTCATCCAAATTCCACCTGGACCTGTCATCCGGTCTAAGATGCCCCCGTCATCACCTGCTCTTCCGGCCATCATGTTCTCCTCCAGTCCTTCTCCCCCCCAGCACTCAGGAACCTCGCGGAAGTTCCGACTGAGAAGCTGTCCCAACGGTTTTTCGGAATCCACCCGCGAGGTGCCTGAGCGTGACAAACACGGTGGTCCAAATCTTGCATGCCCAAACGCTCCGTGAATGACGCCCGACTCCCTCAAAACCCTAAAAACCCTATTTGAGGGTCTGGACCCTACTTAGGAGGGTCCATGAGCGTCTGGGTGGAGTAAATCCAACAAACAACGCCTCTACCATCCTCTATACCGGTCCAAAACCCCACGCCTCACGCAGATTCGTTATGGTCACCTTTGTTGAAGCTCAACTAACTGTGAGCAGCGACCTCCAAGCAGTGCCAAGCATCGTGCACCCTGCCATCTGCCCGTCTGCCACCGTCCTTTTGGCGGTCATTGCCCCGCCATCTCCAGCTTCCGCAGGATCTGCAGTCGCACAGGATCTGCCAGGCGGTGGCAGATTTGGGGACGGCGGGGCATGTAAACACCATCCTCTTTCATCGGCTTACCACAAAGCCAAACGAAGCCGCGATCTCGTGGGATTCAAGGCTTCCAAGATCTTCCGAGCTTCGTTTGGGTGATCTTGGATGACATGACTTGCTGACTGAACTGTTTCTGGGCCTCAGGATGCCTGAACCTCCCCTGGGTGCCTTCTTCAGCTTCTTCACGTGCAGCGGAACACTTCACTGCCGCGCTCCTTCCGCGTTCTTCGTTCTTCGTTCCGCACCGTGGCGGAACTCGCTCCAGGGATCAGTGGACCTCGAAGCCACCTGGAGCTCCCCGGAGTGAGGCAGGTGGGACTGCAAGGAGTTTTGGACACGTCGGACGTAGTGCTCTGGACGTTTGTGAGATTGGAATCCTACAGATTCCCCCATAGACCTTTGCAATTCATGGAATGCCATGCTGTGACCACCACTGGATCGAACTGAATTCACTGATCCGAGGTGGTCCGTGATAATCACAATCCCTAGCAAACATTTAAAGAACCCAGTATTGCTGCCGTAGCTGGGGGAAACAGCCTTAGGAGCTTGGTTTGGCCATTCTTCGACATGTCCGTTTCATAGGTGCCACGTCTGGACGACCTCGAACTGGGCAAGCCCACAGCTCGTCCGTTTCATCCAATGTTGGTTTCGATCGAAGGATGTTTCGAGCGATGCTCCATGTTCCACTGAAACATGCTCGTTTCATGGCCCAGGCTTAAGCTTGCCGCTTGGCTTTTTGGCTTCTTCACGTCATTTGGGCCCCCAACCATCTCGAAGGAGCCGGAGGAAATGGACCTGAGCTGATCCAAAGAACTGGCCGAGAGGAAGAACTGGCTTCTGCATCGAAGACTCGTGCATGGAAGGTAGCCCCTCCGAAGAGGACTATGAAAAGGTTCATTCAATTCAAATGTTTTTTTTTTCCTTTTTATGGGTTATGATGTCAAGAGCTTCTACAGTTCTTTTTTTAAAATGGGTTATGATGTCAAGAGGTTCTAGATCTGGAAAAGAAGTGAGCGTTTGCCTGTCTGGGTGTCCTGGTATAGGAATCGCTTTCTTCCCTTCTCTCCTTCTTGGTTGGCTTTCCACTTGGGTGACCCTGGTTTGGCCCGGCCACATGACTTTGAACAGCAGTTCGACATGGTGAACACCACAATCCATGTAACCGATTTAGGCCCAGTGTCCGCCTCCATGTTCTCTTGACGGGACCACAGGGGTTTTCTCCCCCACTGACGAGGGAACTCCGATCAGTCCGCACCACGGCTGCGGACAGCACCGCTGACGTGTTTTCAGGCTGTCCCAGGCGCATAGTGATGATGCCACCTGAGCGGGACAGGGTGAAGGATGCATCATTGGATGCCGAGAAAGCGGATCAATAATACACAGCATTTGGTACACTTCGAGGTTTGCCATTGCCACTGGAGTTGGTGAATTTGGTGCAGATTCTGGGGGTGCAACGCTTTCAGAACCACACTCCGCCTGCCTATACACTATATATAATTACTATTGAATTGAAGGAAAAATAGTAGTACCCACATCTGGCCTCGCAACATTCTCGTGCCCAAACAGTGTCTGGTTTAAATCAGGGCTCAAGGTTCGCGGGCAATGGCAACCGTTTCTCCGAATATGTGTATGGAGGGTGCTTGGGACCTGACCTCCTTTTGGCTTGCTCCTCTTCAGTTGGTGATCAATGGCTGCTGGCGTGCTCTCATGCTGATAGGGTGATTAAACCAGGCCCCGGTGGACCAAAACCTGCCCAGTGAATCAATCCCAGTCGAGAACGACCAAACAACCAGTCCCATCATTGCTACCAAATGAACCAACACCCATCATGTGGCATCTGAGCCAATACCCTTTAAGCACCTGGGCCGCCCAACGCACGTTAGGTTCATCCCCCCCTTCATCGCGTTCACCCAGGATAACCCACCGAGCGACAGCTCGAAGGCTTGCCAATTCCACGCAAACGACCGCGTCGGCGTCGTGATCTCTCGGCGGCCTAGAGCGAAGGAAAAACGGTCTGGAATGGTCTGCTCGGTCTGATTCCAAAGATTCAGGGAGATGTTTCAGGTACACTCTCTGGAACTCACATGGAAGTGGAAAATGGCCCCTTGGAAGACAATTTTCCTCTACAAACAGGTGGTTTTCCACTTCCATGTTAATTCCAGGAGAGTATATCTAAGCCCTGAACCCAACTGAACCCATTCCAACTTGTTTCTTTTGGGGGTACGAATTGGATCGAATGGGTAAATCACTTTGGGAAGACCTCTTCTCCCCGTCGAGCTGGAGCAAACGACTCTAAGAGCAAATGCGACGAGTTCGCAGGGTGGCTGAGGGCAGCTGCCTCCCTTTCTGTAATGAATTGCCCTATAGGATCCATTTATGAAATGGTTCATGTCCATTCATCTCCAGCCCTCCTTCCTTCCTTCCTTCCCTCCTTCCGTCCTTTTCTTCCGCCTGAGACCTTTTGGACACCACACGGATGCTAAACCGCCGGCGACGCCCCGGAACCGGGTGAACGAAGAGGTGCGAGTTCTGCGGCCCACTCCGACGCCCACATCACATGGAAGTGGGCAACTCCCTGTGTTTGGGCAAAGGAAAGTAATTAGTAGTCTTCAAGCAGTCTTCAAGGAATCATGTTCCAATATTTTCCACTTCCATGTGATGTGTTCGTCAGCGGGTATCTTTCGAAGAGGATATCTTTCCATCGAAGAGTTGTGTAACATCGCCCGATGAGCCAAAACCAGGCATCTGTTCTTAGGTTTTGGGAAGAACGCCACGTTGGATCGAAGTGATCCGGGCATGGTTCGCAACTTCTTTCCAACATCTGGCTACATGAATCATTCATGACCTTCAAACAAATAGAGAATGATTACAGTAGAAAAGTGATTTCCATCTACAAAACTGATTGAATATGTTTGAAGCGTTTTGGGCCCACCGAAAAAGATCAACCAAATCTTTTCAAACCTCAATGCTAACAACAGCAACAACCGAACATCTAGAAGAGATTCATGACAATCAAAGGGATGACTTCGTCAAAGCATCCGGAAACATCACATGAACTGGCAAAAATTGGCATGTGTACAGTCACATCACCTGACCCTTTCACCCTGGTGACATCGGCCTTCAGGCAAAACATTGCGCCACCAAGTGCCTGGCGCAGCCAGGTGATGCCAGAAACCATCGGTGATGCCATTTGGAGCTTCCAGGACATGCTCAGAAGAAACCATCAACATCTTCCAGGACGTGGTCAGAAGTCACAAGAGTTGGTGGAGTCGTCACAAGAGTTGGTTCTGATGGTTTCTGGGCACCTCTCTCAGTTGATTTGCTTGAAGCACCGAATCAACTGAAGGGATCAGCGGCAGCTCCAGCCATTGGCTTGAGCATGCTGGAGGATTGAGACACCGACAGAACATGGATTTGGAAAAGCACCTCGCCAACACTTCTATGTACAGTGACCCCCCACTATAGATCCAAAATTGGAATATGTTTCTTTCTGTTTGGGTGCCGCTATGGGTGCCAGTAAAGAAAGGACAAGTGGCTTTAGTATTTCCAAAGAAATCTAATAATCAGCATTTACACCGCAGCGGGCTGCCAAAAAGTGGGACATGACACAACTTTGAGAAAGCCATGGGCCATGATTATGCGATCTTATGCGGAACTCAATTCTCATCACACGCACAACCCACCGATACGACTTTCAATAAATCCATGTGACCGTCTGACCTTCGTGGATTGAATCTGACCGTCTGACCTTCTTGGCCGTCCCAAATGCTCTCAAAAGGCACCACTTCCAGTTGCCCACACTCTTTCAGGATCCCATGGCCGAAACCTCCAGTTTCGCCGACCAACGAAACCGACCACACGACGCGACAGACGGTCTGGAGACCCGCGGACCCCCCGCTGACCCGCCATTGACATGCCAACCAACCTCCACCCTACATAGAAGTCCATATTTCGACTGAAGTAACGGACATGTCTTGACTCGGGGTCACCGAACTTGTCAGACCATGCCTTTTGATAGTGCAAAGGACTCCGCAGAAATCCCATGCTTCGCCCCCGTTCGTCGTCCAAGTCGATTCTCCAGACGTCACCGAGTCCGGTCGGTTCGGCACACGGCCTTTGAGATGGACGATGTGCGCCGTCTGGGGCAAGAGTCCGTCCGCGGTCGACTCCGCGTCGTTCCTGTGCAAAGCATGAGCTTGGCAGCTATGGATGGGAGTGGTCAAATCATCTTAAGACCTGGGTTTGGATGGATGAACACCTCTTTTCATTGTTGTTTTTGTTGTTGTTGTGCCTGGTTGGAGATGCGACATGTACCCACTGAAGTTGGAGGACGCTATTCCGACTGCAAGCTGGCGTAGCATGTGGATTGTCAACCCTATAGGTCCAATGGGGGAAGTCCAGTGGGAGACTCTTGAAGGGGAAACGGGGCAACCCAAGTCACCCAAGCGCGGGTGTCTTTGTGAATTGGGAAGCTTCAGCGGTGCAGTTCAGTCACCAAACGCAAGAAGAAACCAAGGCACCAGCCTGCTACCAAACACCCGACAATACGGTTGCAGAACAACTGACTCGGGGGTTCAACTTGGTCCTGAGACGTTTTCGCCACCACATGGCACCACTATTACAGTACCCAACCATGTCTTTGGCACGAGTGGAGTGCATGATTTTCAGTGCTTTTTTTGGTGGATTTTTCATCAAAGACACCATGTGCCAGGGCCACACCGACAGTCACCAAAGATCCACTCCAAATGAAGCACCTGAAACGTCTGGACACCGCAACTTTGCTGACCCGCCAGGTCAAAAGACATGAACCTTCACAACCACGGGTGTGGGAGCATGGCAGTCTTTTGAGTCTTACGGGTCTCCAAATTGGTCATGGATGTCATGGGGAATGTGAGGATGACACAAGTCTGGAAATAGAAGGCTTAAAGCGAGCATCCCCTCCAAACCTAACAGACATGTGCTGCAGCTGCTGCGTACAGCTCAGGTCCATTATCCTTGAAGTCTTAGAACCATAGAAGCCTATGGTGTCAGCTCCTCTGCTGCTCACGGCCAAAGCCGAAGGCTTGTCTCAGTCTCCACGTCCCGGGCTCGTCATGTGATGCGTCTGCCAAGCTTCAGGTACTGAGTTGGAAGACCTCAGTTGGCACACCGCCTTCACCAAGCCTTCACTTCTTCAAGGAGATGCTTGGCTGCTAGGCCGCATTTTCTGGTGGTTGGCCTGTAAATCTCAACTCTTGGAGGGCTGGAATATGTCTTGCGTGATCTATGGTGATCTACTGCCATTAGTGGGTATTCGTCTGATGTGCGGGTTTGGTTGGTGGGAGGTATCTCATTGTTGGATCGGCTTTGGGAGGTATCTCCACGCAGTCGGTGGCTGACACTGCAGAATTCCACGTTTTTCACCGACAATCAGTCGTGGGTAGCCTATCAGCGAGCTCATGTTCTGGGTTCCCCAGAACACTTCAATTCATCCCAGCCCAAACAACACGAGCTTCTCCGCTGTGTACACTCTGACGAACACATCACATGGAAGTGGAACATGGGCCTTTTGGAAGAGCCTTTTCCTTTACAAACGCGGGTGGTTTTCCGCGTTCCATGCGATGTGTTCCGCGGAACGTCGGGGCCGTTCACCACGGTGGGGGAACACCCCGTCCAAGCGGCCCATCATCGTCACGCGAAAGTTCTCGCCCCCGGGTCGCAGGGATTCCAACCTCAGTGCCGAGCCCCAAATGGATCGCCCTCCCTGACGCGACGCATGGGACTGCCAGGACGGACTGCCGAGAAACGGCCGACCGGGTGCTTGGGGTGGTCAATGGGGCGCCAGTCCGTCCTGGCAGTCCCAGACGGGTCGTGTCTGGGCCTATTTGGAAGAGTGAAGGGGCCCTGCAGTCCAAGAAGTGAGGAGGTTTAAGGCTCTTATAGATGAGTCTGGGGGATCAGTGATTCTGACACAAGCCTCCAAAAGACAGGAGGCTGGTTTGTATAATGTTATACCATGTTATACCCAACTCACAGAATTGGTTGATTAAACATCTGCAGGACACCCATAGTCTTGGAGTGAAAGCCATGGTTTGTAGATATTCCCTTCAACCAACCTATAGCAGGTTATAGAAGTTCCTGGACAAAACGGTGTAGTTTGTGGGGCAGTGGAGTCCGTGTCTCTCTCTCTCTCTCTCCAGGTGAAAAGCGGGATCTGCCTTGATCTTCCAAGCCAAGCCTTTTTGAACCACCCTCAGAATTGATTCGGAAGTGAAAACTGGATCATACCGTCATACCTGATCAACTTCTTCACGCTCATTGGACCAGATTCTTTCACTTGCCAAACCACAACCAAAACCAAAGCTCCTAAGCTTCCAACTGATTTCCCTCCTCCGCGGGTGCTTTGGCTCGGTGGCTGCTCGATCCAAGGGGCTCGATGCTTCGCAAGGAGCTGCAGCAGGTCGCTGCATCCTTCCTGGGATCGGCCGGGTCACCCGGGTCGTACCGGGCGGCGGAGCGGACGTTTGGAGCGGACCTGGCTCTCTCTCTCTCTCTCTGATGCCAGGAGCTACGTTCGTGTCTTGTTACCGCACTTTTTTCAGGAGTTCGGTTGAGAGTCGAATGTGCAGCTGTCTCAAGGAGGAGCAGCGCAAGTTCGCGCAAACCTTTGAGCCTGCTGCGTGATACGAATCCTTGTCTAAGAGGCAGGTGTTGCAAGTTGCGGCTTGTAGAGTGTATTGCAAAAATTGTGTCCAACACAGCCGAGCTCCAAAAATCCCCCAACAATGACAGGAGTCGCGGTATCTTTACATATCTTTATGCAGCATCTGTTTTGAAGACTCTTGTCCCAATGACTCTTGAAGCCCGTGTCCAGTCCAGTTGAATCGATCGGATCATCGATTTCATGTGACGAGATGTCCAGGCCATCGGTTTTCAGCAGGAAAACCCACAAGCTTCACCTGTTCACCACCGGTCTTCAAAGAGGAGCCGATCACCCTGATGGATCCTGATGGATCACCAAAGACTCAGTGGAACCTCCGCCAGTGCGACAACGAATTCGTTGATGAGTGACTTCTCTCTGATTCGTTGACCCACCCAGGGTGGATCCGGCGGATGGCGGATCCGCGGGATGAAGTGAGGCAACCGCAAGGATCCGCCAGGACTGCTGACGGTGATCAGCGTGTACATCGGATGGGTTCTCTTTTTTCCGTCGACCGAGGAAGAATCCGGGTCGACTGGGTCGCAAAAACACTGGCCAAGCTGCATGACCTTCTCTACCTCGCCCTGTGTCAACAGAAAAGCCAGCGCTGCTTGGGAAGGGCCTCCGTACGTGTGTTGTCTCGAGAGAGGTCCATCAGCTGAGGCGACGGCAGCTGGTGGATCCACCAGAGGTTGAAGAACCCGAACTAGGTTATCCCAGTCCGGTACCCCAGGTGACGGGTCCTAGTTCAGGTCACTATCCACCTCTGCAAACTTGTGACTGCCGGTCCGTCAGACCAAGGTTTTGGTCTGGACCTTGTATCGAACTGTCAGCTTGATGGCGAATGAATGGGCACCATACAGCCAGTAGTTTTGCATCGGTTTTCCACTGTTGGGGCAGCCGTGAGCATCACCCTGATAGGTGTGCAAAGAGTTCCGGTACATTTGGGCTGAGATGGCTGGTGCCCTTGGGCTTCCACACAGGACTCCGTTATCGCTTTGCTAGGGCCTGTAGAAAATCCTAGGTTGTCGTCTGACAAGGTGTCGAATATGATCGAATGATAAACACCATTCATTCCTCATCTGGATCTCCTCCAGCAAATGACCTATTGAATTAATAATCTCAAAATCCATTGAAATCATCATCTTGACTCATCTCAATCATCTCCCTGCCTTTGAATTCTTCCAGCAAATCTCGCCATCGCTGACCTAGATCGTTCTCGTTCTCGTTGTGGAAGAGCGTCACTTCTGTCAGGCTCTTCTTGGCGAAGCACGTGCGCTGGACTTCTTTTCGATCATTGGTTAAGTACAATGGTTTCAAGAGTAGATGGAACAAGTTTGAAGAGTTGGTACATATTATACAGTATATCGACCCCCCATCTGAAAAACACCCATCTTGGGTGCCAGTGCCATCATGTGCCCTCGTGTGTACACCCAATCAAACCAATCTTGTGACTTGGCAAGCTCCCTGAAAAAGGTGATCCAAGCCAAGGGAGGTATCTTAGTGACCTGAAATAAAGGGACCTGTCACCTACTGGGGCACCGAACTGGGATAAGTCGAACTAGGGTCCTTCAACTTCTGTTGGAGGTTATCCACTTCTGTTGAGTAGGTCATGTGACAGAAATGATGCTATCAAAGCCTGGTTGATATGGTCATATCCTTTCCATCCAAATTGGAGGGGTGCGGTGCGGATAGAAAGCATCTGATTGAGCGTCTCAGATGGTGTCTCCGATGTCCCAACGTTCACCTAGTAGAGTCTGGCAGTATGTAAACGGTGAAAAACATGTGGAAAACCACATGCTCCATGCTTGCCAAATCCTCCAAGCAGCCCATGTGGCAAACCATTGCAACGCATCCAGGCTATTTCGCATGATGAGGAGGCCACCCTGCAGGCGCACGTAGCCTTTCCTCGGCGACTTCCGCACGTCGGCCGCGATCTCGGCCCGGACGGAGACCGCGGAGGCGGCGGCTGAGAGCCAGACTGGACGTTTCTGCGGTTCAAGGATCAGTTGGAATTCAGTGACGTGTCCGAAATGGCCAGTATTAGTATGCCTCATGCAGTGCCTCAACATTTTTGCTGGTTACGACACAAAGTATGCCCCAGAATGCCGAACTACCTCGTATGTCGTATACCATCACCCTCATCATCGTCACATCATGATTCATTCTCACTATGCAGGAGTGGGGTTGTATAAGCCCACTCCAGCAGAGTGGTTGCTGAGTAGTGGTTGTGATTGAACTCTTTTCTGGTATGGATCACTCAGCTTTGTTGTTCCGAAAGAACGGCTCCATCCCTGCTCAGCCCAAAGAACCCATGGTTCAGAAGCACCTCTCCATGTCCGAACACTCGCTCCATCCAGGATCCCCCCCCAGGATTCTAGACCGCCGGCTGGGTACCTAACACCTAAGCACCCACAGGCTCCAGGATCCTCAGTACCTCGCCCAAGAGGCTTCTTGGTGAACGCCAGCTCCTCAGTGGAGCCCCAGGGCACCTCCCGGGTGCCGTCGTAGTAACTGAAGGCGATGTCCACTTGCCGCCTAGGTCCCGGCGTGCTTCCGAAACAAGAGTGCCCTGGCCCGGATGGGCAGATCGCCCCAGGTGGAAGAAGAAGAAGAAGAAGAAGAAGTGGACATGTCTGCAGAGCAGACCAGCTTTTGGTTGATTTCTCAAGCGTCCTCATGGTGAGGGGGCCCACAGATCCGATGACAAATAGGAGTGGGGGCCACACTGGGGTGTGATCACACCGCTTGCGGGTCTGTTGCACTATCTTTGGGGAAAAACTCTCGCAGGAGGGCACTTACATACCAAGACTTTATCAGAATTCCTAGGGGACAACCCTCTGCCCAGTAGCGACACTAGGGTTCCTCTAGCCAGTCTATTGCACTCAGTGGCGAGTCTGAACTGAACACCGGCTGACACCGCTGTTTTGCAAAGCATCTTCTTCTGCATGGGTTAATCATTTTCAATCAATGGATTGGTTTATTACTGTACATACATAAGGAAACATCTACATGAACGAAACAGTCACCTTGTATGTAGTCTTCCACCCTCATGAAATACGATGAATATGAATGTATATATGTGCCTTTCCCTCGCAGGTGAAGATCGTCTTCTTCCTGGTTCAGGATCTGCGCTCTCTAGCGTCTTCCATATAGCACGTGCGTGTATGTGCTTGGATGTCCAATTGCTACTAGTAGCCTAGTAGCTCCGATTTCTAGCATGTGCTTGGAGGACCTCCGAGGACATCCTCTGGAGCGACCCCGGTCGCGCCGCGCCGAAGTTTCTCCAGACCCAGCAGCTGCTGCAAGAGCTCGAAGACGTGCATGAAAGGCTTGGCCTCAAGGGATGAGTGGCACCACACACGGTGTCCAACATGTCCAGCCTGGCGAACACTTCAAACATGAACCTGTGTATGTTGGGTCTATCCGGTCCATCCAGGTTTCAGCGGATGATGATGGTTAGGTTCAAGGCCCACATCTCTCAAAATAGTGAGGTTCTTGTTTACTGACTGTGACAGCTAACAGGACAAACTCAATGACCCAGTCTATAGTCCATCTACACCTTTACTCACTAACATGGAAGTGGAACATGGTCCATGGGAGTTTTTCTCATGTGAATCTGCGGGGAGCATTCATCTATCCAGTCATCCAGTCCCTCAAATGACACACATCACATCAGTTTTTCTTTCTCCATCTTGCTGTTTAGGATGGCTCTTTTTCCCGCAAGGGTTTCTGTTCGAAAAATGGGAACACGGTATCAGCTTGGCAATGAAGATTTTCCCATGCCAATGAGCATCTGAGCGTCAGGTGGGGCCATTCGAGTTCGTTCTAAGGCTGGGCCATCGGTTTCAGCGCCTACTCTGCGCGTTTCTAAGGCTCACCGAAGAAGCGGACTTGGAGGGCATTGAGAACATGTGGAAAGGGATTGTTGCAATGGCCAACTTCGAGGGATGCACCTCTCAAACAGCCGTCCCCTGGTCTATTGGTCGCACCATCCCAATCTACAGATAGAATTCTATAGAGATATTAAAGATATTTAAGGAGTCTACTCCTCTTTCTCCAGGTCGGTCAGCTCCAGCTTGGGTGGGTGAACTACTAGTATGACATATCATCAACACACCTGCGATCACCTGCGTCATCCTGCGTCCAACACCTCGCTCCCTCCAGTCCCACGATGTCCCACGCCCTCGGCGCCGGCGACGTCGCGGACATCTTCCGGGAGGCCACGACCATGTCCGAGTCCATGCACAGCACGAAGGCCACCTCTTTCAGTGGAAGGATGCGGGTCTGCCAGAGCAAGAGGTACCTGATGAGGAAAGACGATGATGAGGGGCCGCCTGTATAGGTACGCTGAATCAGTCGCATCAGTGGAATCTAGGTTCTTTTCTGGGTTGTTTCGCGTCCAAACCACCAAATCATTCAGCTCTCGTGACTGTCCAACATTGCAGGTGGATTGGTGGATGGCACCCATCCACCGATCCAATAGGAGACCACAAATGTGAAGGGAAGGAATGAACATGACCACATCCCCGGGAAAAGGCAGTCTGCTCACTTGGTCCAGTTGAACACTGGCCCAGAAAGGAGGGTTACCCTCGGAAATGAGATCTGTGAAAAACCATTTCCCTCTACAAGCCACTGGTTTAGTGGTTTGCAGGTTCCCATCTGGGTCTCGGAACCGGTGCGTAACACATGTTAACAGCTAACACATCCTAACACCCTTCCGGGTCGTCGGAACATGACAATCCACCAGCGGAACCTGCACTCGGCGACGCTTTCGTCTGCGGAACGCACGCACCGGGGTCGTTCGTGCTCTTGAGCCGACGGGTCCCGCGGCGTCGGCTTCACCCAAAACGCGGTGCCCACGGCGGAAACGGCGGAAACGGCGGGTTCGGGGCCGAGACACTGCTGAAGCTTCAGTGACTGATAGGTCAAGCGCCGATAATTCTCTCCTTCCGTGGGGTCCTCGTGGGAACTCAGCTGCTCCTCATGTTCCTGACGGCAAGACATCGATGAGATCTGCTCCACCCTCTGCTGGCTCCGAAGCCAGTACCAGTGGGTTCAAGCATGGTTCAAGTGGTCTTAGACGGTAGAGAGTTGAAGTCTCTCCTAAGACTTTTTCAAAACCACATGACCTGCAACCCTGTCAAAAGTTGGAATTCAACAAACCACAAACCTTTTGCTGTGCTTTTGCTGAAGTGTTTCGACCCAAAACCACATCCTGAAACGTCTCGGCTCCTGAAAGGGTGCGAACTCCACCCAGGGCATCACTCGGCTTACCGCCTCCAGGGTCGCCGCAGCCAGTCCTCCAGGGTCTCGGCGTTCGTCCGAACCGCGCGGGAACCGCGCGCGGTCTGGGCGGCTGAACCGGCCATCTTGGTGAGTGAAGCGCCGTTTGTCATGATTTCCAGCATCGGAAGCTGGAAAAAAAAGACGCCCACTGCGAAGCTGAAAGGGGTGGACACTCCTGATTCGCTGGAGGACACCGAAAGCCGTTGAAGCGAATGTCTAACACATCAGTATAACATTGTGCGTTTCTAATTGATTAGTCCATCAGGTGTTCACAAACCACAAAGATGCCATATGACTCAAACCTAGATCACCAAACGAACAAAACCATCTTCGTCCAGTCCTGCAGTGGCCACCATGACCTTCACCACCGGAACGCGTGGTCTGGACTCATCGCTGGGTGAATGAAATGCCTCCGGCGCTGCATTCGGAGAGGCCAGGAGTGAGGGAGGATCGGTGGGGAAGGCGGCACGGAACGCGGTGCAGGAGTGAAAGAGGCGTGTGACCCACAGCTACGCCACTGGCGTGCAGCAATCTGCAGGCCTCTCCAATGCTGGAGAATAAGGGGCCACAATAGGTCAAGAAGTAGTGCTCCTGGAGCGTGGGCGAGGACGATTCAACGCAATTCCCTTTTCTCTCAGCATTCTGGGTGGATTCTAAGAAGGATAGAGGATCCGAGAAATCCCAAAAACACCTGCCGGTGAGGTTAACTCACAGTGACACAAACCTCGTTCTGGACGTTTTTTTCCAGAAGAAACGTTGGAAGATCACATAACCGCCTTTACTGGAACTGGGCGGTCGCTGGCCGTTGAGTGTTCTCCATGAGCCGTCCGGGAAGGAGGGGCACTCGACTCGTTTATATTATAAGCTGAAACGGTAAATTATTTTGCGGCGTTTAAGAATCTCAAAGAACATATATGTAATGTAACTATGTAAATTAACATATACATATATATATGTAACTATATGAGGATACTACAGTGATACTACAAATTATATATGTACATATATTATATGATATTAGGCTCTAGTATGACCTGACCTAATTACAATAATTTGATGATTTGATGGTCAACATCCATGACTCTCAAACTCTGAACGCCAACCTCTGGAAAATGTGGATCATCTGGATACCATGCATGTGAGCACTACACCGGGGAAGAGACCCACACGAAACCTGATGGCATGAGCATGGACCAGACTGGAAGATGATTTTCCTCTACAAATCCAGCCCCAGTGGGGCTTCAGGTTCCATTTGGGTCTCGAAACCAGGGCTTGAGATTCCCAGGAATCCCAAAAACCCATAATCTGAGCACTCAAATGACTCACGCCCCCCTCCCCCGCCCCAGCTCCGATAGAGGCCTTGAAAATCAGAATGTCCGGATCCCAGTGAGCTATTGCATTGGAACACTGTTAGTTAACTGTTAACATGGAACACTTGAATTGATCGATATATAGAGTTGCAACGGTTGCAACACGTTGTTCCAACGGCCTCTCCTCCATGCACGACGTGAGAATCACCACCCCCGGCGTCGGTTCCACGCCGTTGGCTGCGGCCAACGACAACGGCGGCCGCAGTGCTTGCTGCGCGCGCCGTGCACGGGCACGTTGTAGCGCCGGCAAGGCTTCGGAGAGGTCCTTGGGCTTCGGCGAAGGTAGACCGGCGATGAATGAAACAGCCTCATTTGGATTGAGCAAAATTCTCTTGGGGGTTTTGTTAGTCAACAGTCTGAATGATCTGGAAGACTTGGGCAGGGTGCGTGTGGATGACTAAAACATCCCCAGCATGTGGATGGTCCCTAAGATGGGCCACCCACTTCTTGATCTTCTTGAAGCATGAAACCCAGCCTTTTCTTTAAAAGAACAACATGTCTCATAGATTCTGCTCTCTCCTATGCTGAGCCATGAAATACAAGCCGCAAGCCCGTTCCTTTGAGGACAATTCCAAGCTGAAACTGCAAACTCCAACACATACAAGGATTGCTCTGCCAAAGCATATGGCCGTGGGTCCAAACCTAAAGACCCGGAGCCCATCACCCTGGTAAGTTGACCTCCCCAAACAGCTCACACTTTCAAACGTCCCCCACCCCACCTCCAGGCCTTGATCCTCACACTCTCCAGCTCCACCACCTCCATCAATTCCTCCAAGCTAAAGGAGCCCTCTTCCTCACACTGGTGGCTACACGCAGCCACCGTCGCCGTCTCCACTTCGCCTCCGTCTCCACGCTCGCGTGCCCGAGCACGTGCCCACAGCCGCGCGCGCGCGGCGCCGGCGTCGTCGTGCCCTTCGGAGCTTCCCGCGAGGTTCCGGTCGGCGGAGAAGCCGCGCTTCACGCCCGGGACGAAGGGAAACTGCTCGGAGGCCCTGAAGAGGCCGCAAACGGAGGATGGTGGTTTTGAACCAAACCCAAATCGGTACGAACAATCAAATCAGGCGAGGTTTGGGTGCCTAATGCCGCAAATCAAGTGCCGGCAAACATCGCGGTTGGCCAACCCGGATGCCCGTCGTTCGGCGCTCTACACCTACACCGCCGGTCGCCATCCGATGCACCTCCCGTGCAAAGACAGAACCACGGTGCCGAACGAGGACCTCGTCGTTTCCGGGTGCGGACGGGGTGCCCGTGTTCTGCCCATCTGTTAGGCCCTTTTAGGTCCCAGGCAGCCAAGTGCGTCAGCATGCTGCGTTTGGGTTCTGCGCATGCTGCCGGGTGGCAAGAACTCATGGATGGGTGCTTTGTAGAGAGAGTTCTTGGCATCATTGCTGAGCCAAAGGAACTCCTCTCAATGGCAGGCCACTGGCAGCTGGGATTGAACGCGCTGGAGCTAGATCTTCACAATTCTGTAGGGGAGATACTTGTCTATCACATCACAATTCAGTCTTGTCACCTTGTCATCAAGCACCACCAAATGACACTTTGCAAACCTGAAAAAGCCTGGCACTGTGCCCAATTCTGTCTGCAACACCGTCAATTCTTGCCTCTTCAGCTAGCTTGGACAAAGAACCGTGCAAACAAAAGGTACACCCTGGGTCCGACCTGGTCCTCCAAACTTCCAAATGAACTTCCTGAATTGCGTTGCAAAAGGACAAGTAACACCTTCCAATTGGCCAGGAATGCGGGCACTTCATCAAGAGTCCCGCCAAATCCTTCAGGAATGAGGGTAGCTGGATCCTTTCAATCTCGGGGAGCGAAATTTCGCGAACGAAGCAACGTCGCGCCAGTCAAAAGAAGCGCCCACACACCCAGCTCAGAGTTCTGGGTCAGTCTCCCCTTGATTCTTCCGGGTAAGCCATGGTCGCCATGGTCGACACGGGTTTTTCGCTTTCCCCCACGACCCGCGGCGACTGCGTCGTGGCTCCTGAACTAGAGATCGATCCAGAAAGGGATATCTGGTCCTTAGGTCTTGCAGTGCACACCTCATTGGGTGATCTTCCCCCTCTCAACGGGTCGGTGATTCGGTGATTCGTAAATCCGTACATGGGCAGCAGTGCACATGGTCTATCAATCTTCCAAAGCCCACACCCAGCGCTGAACTGGGATGATTGGATTGGGTCACTGTGGGATGCCATGTCAACATATGTCAACCATACCCTATAGTCTACAGGCCCAAGTTATAAGCCTCTATAGTTATATGGCGGTGTACCAAAGCACCACAAGCGCCATACACTATTCAATTCAACCTATTTGTGTTAACTCCCAAGCCAAATACGAATATCATCCATCACTTCCAGGCTTCTCCACTCCATGTGCCCCAGCAGTGCTCTCTTCCTTCGCCAAGTAGTCCTGCTGCGTTCCCAGGTAGAAGTTCAACCAGGGAAAGGCTGTCGACAGGTTCTCTGGAAAGTGGCCCATCAGCGTGCTGTGGAACTCCTGAACCGCGACTCGGAAGGATAGAATGACCAAGAGATGTCGGTCCTCTCACAGCACGCTTGGTGAAAAATCTTACCAAGAACCTGAACAGAACAGAGTTCTGGCTGCCGTGTATCAGGAACATGATTCTGCAAATTTCCAAACAGGCAGGCTACATCACTTACTACATCAGAATAATCTGAACTTCCAAAGTGCTGATGACCATCCACGGTCATCAGCAGGACTGACTCAGTCAGTCGCCTCAAAAAAAAACAAAGAAACTGCTGAGAGCGACCTGCCAGGAGCCCATTTTTGTTGTTGATGACAGCTTTGTTAGACATGCCCGGTCCCCCGTGCTTTCTGAAAAACATCACAACTTCACTGAAGCAACGGACACATACGACACCCTAGCTTACCCTGAATCATGCCCGTACCCTGGAAAACACCCCCCCGTTCCGTTCATCCCGTCCAAAACGACCTCTGTGCCCGCATCGCCTGTACGAACCACGGTTCGCACTCGCGAACCCGTGAACCGGGTAGGTTCAACCCAAGTGGCCAAGGGGGCGCCATACGCGCCGTAGTCGCTGATGACTTCGTCCGCTCCGCTGCCGCTGAGGAAGAGCCGCTGCCCAAAGTGGGCCGCCTGGCGATAGATCCAGGAGAGTCCCGCGGCCGCCTGTGGCGCGCGAGTTCGGTGCGGTGCAGGGGGTGTGTTTGGTGCTGGTGTTGGTTGTTGAGGAGTCCTTTTTTTTGGGGGGGGAGCCATTGGAGCCATGGCATTGATGTGTCCCAGTGCCGATGCTGCCGCCTTCGGTATGTGGGGACCAACGGCATTTATGGGGTCCTGGCCGGGGCCGGTGGGTGGACTGTTGGGGTCCAGAGTGGAGGTGCGGAATCGTTTTGGTTCTGAGGGATTGGCATGTGTTTTGGTGGGCCAAATGGCCATGGGGCCGTTTTTTTGCAAGGTGGGGTGGTGCAGTGGTTGGGGTGACCGGTCTGAGTGGGGTCGCTGGGGGCTGAGTGGGGTCGCTGTTGGCTTTCCATCAAAGCTCAGTCGATTCTGGGGATGTTGGGAGCGTGAAGGGCTGCACTGGATTGTGTTCACCTGCATATCCTAGAATCGTAGCTTCAAAACCTAGCTGCTAGTGCGAAGCAGACCTCGACCATCCAATGGGTGTCCAATGGGGACCCCTAAGTATAGTGTAATTAGGGTGGTTGATTCGACACCCATTGGATGGGCCAGGTGCATTACTATACATATATCTATCTATGCATCTATCATCTATCTATATATTACATAATTACAACATACTATAACCCCAATAGCTTCTTAAGTAGCGATGGCCTCCAACCGAATAGCGATGGCCTGGCTCCACCTAGTAACTTCTTGTTACTAATGGCAATGGCCTCCAACCTAATATACTTATATCATTGCAATTGCCTTGAGATGATCCCGGCCAAGGCATCTGGCCCGGCCTTGTCGTCCACATTGGCATAACCAGGCCGCAGCTTGTAGAAGACCTTCTCAGCGTTTTCACCTTGTCACAATCTTTTAGAACACTGATGGCCCCCTCTATCCTGCACGACAGCAGTGCGAGGTTCTGGAAGTAACGAACCAGTATCAAAACCAACCCAAACGCTCCATGGGACTGCCATATATGCCGATCAGTTGGGGTGTTTTGGGTGGTCAACGGGGCGGCATATATGGCAGTCCCATGGAGTGTATAGGCAATGTGGTTGCAGAATTTTGAGCACTGGCATGCACAAGCTACAATTTGCTTCATGAACATCCCATCATTCCCACCACCTCTGGGGTGTTGGGTCATGGTGAGACTATGCCAGTCATGCCGCGAGCTGAGTCGCCGGCCGTTTCCGTTCGATTCCGGCGCCCCCGTCGAATGGGTCGAAGGGTTCGGTCCCACGTACCATGAAGGTACCCCAGACTGGCAAGTCACAGAAACCAACCTGCAACTGTTTTTTCTTGATCATTTTTGGGGAGCCGGAGCATCAACAAAAATCATGTCGTATTCATTTGTTAATATCAATCAACAGATGTCTATACTTGTTTTATAGTATTATATACTGAATCTGTAGGAAATACAATCCACTATATGAGCGGCGGACAAACCTTCTTGGTGTCGCCCAATGGCAAAAGTATTTTAGGTTGGCCCCTATCGGTTTCCAGTGTTTCGCAACGCAGGCAAAAACACTATAAGCTACTTTCAATCAAGAAAAGGTATCGGTATAGGGTTGGCCGACTCCCCCTTGGCCGCGATCAGTTTTGCAAGGTCTTGACCCATTCAGACATACTTAAGGCGGCTCATGACTCAAGTACATGTCCGGACGTTGGATGCTCGGATGCGACATGGCGGTCACCAGGGACGGAAGGCGAAAAAAAGGTGCGAACGATCCCTCCCCAAACGCGAAACATCGCGAAACCATGCTAAACCATTTCCCAGTCAGTTGGACCTCATGAAATACAGGAGCTCTAGATGGGAGGCAACATGAGGCAACAAAACCCAGACTTCAGGAGGTCAGTCGGACCAGATTTACTCTGACTGGACTCGGGATTGGTCCTTCCGACCCCTTTCCGGGCTTCCAAACACCCAAGCCAATCACTCCCAGTGTGGACGCTGGCGGCCGCTCAGTGCCGCCGAGCCGCGAAGGAAGGTCTTTTCACGCTGAAACTCCTCCTGCGAGAGCTGCGTGAGCTTCCACGAGGCGTTCATGTGCCGCACACGCATCGCTTCCAAGCGTGCCAGCAGCACTCGCACGTCCTGGAGAGCTGCGAGTGTATGAAGTTCGCACGGTGAGGACGTAGGGTTTTTCTATGCTTGTTCTTAAGCCTTTTCTTTTGCGGTGCCCTTTTTTGGACGGCGGGATGGAAGTGGACGAACTATGGAACGAACGGGCTATAAGTCCATAAGTATAAGAAGGTGCATGGAAATCTGTTGTGAACAAAGACCATCCCTGTAAACAATTTTAAACAATGCAAGTTCCAAACTGTCCAAGTTCCCGTTCCAGCTCTCAAACCACCATGTGTATCGAACATGACCGGAAAACGCCGGAAGCTTCTCCGACCAAGCCCGATGTCACCGAACCAACGGGGAAACGGGATTGAACGGGACTTCACCCACCTCCCGTGCTTGCACCGTGTACATCGCCGGCGCGATGCCCAGCTCGCCCAGCGCCACTGCGATGGAGCCGCTGTCATAGCCGTCGCTCAAGCACATGGCCGGCACGGCGCGGCCGGGCGCAAAGCGTGTGGAGCCGGCGCGCTTCTGGATGGCCTCTTGAGGTTGAAGTGGGTGCGGTTTTGTTTGGAGCATGTTTATAGCCCAAAAGAATAGCTCTCCTTATTGTCTTACCCTCCCCGCAACCAATCATGGACGTGGAGTTCGCCAGCTGTCCTGGTAATCGAAAAATAGTCTAGAACCAGGGGCCATGGTCCACCAGCCAAATGAGCAGAAAGCCGCCATAGGTTCCAATGAAGGCACTGCAACATCAGCCATAGTTCCAGTCGTACCTTCTCAGAAAGTACTTGGACCCTCCAAACCATCACAACAGTGTCTCCAATCACCTTCTCAGAGGGTATGTGGCCTAGTTCTATAGATTCAGTCTGAAGATGAAGCATGTTAGATTCAGGCGAAACGGGCCCATCACGGTGCAGATTCCGGTCGATGGGGTCCCAGATCACGTGGCTTCCATGTCATTGAAATACCCAAGAGACTCCGTGGGCCTCAGTTGCTCCACCCCCAAGAACAGTGCTAAATATCATATCGGCAGGCATCAATCTGATTCCAACCAGCCCAGCCTTGAGAAAGAGCTTCTGCCAGTCCTTCGTGTCTGCCTTGTGCTGTCTCATGTCAAACTCGAAGACTGCAGCCTGATGGATCACCTCGAGGTTAACCAGGTGAGCACAAATACGTGGTACACAAACACCCACACCTACACACACATGCACCTATGTGCGTGTGTGTGGGTGTGTGTGCGTTGAGACAGGAGGCAATGACAAGGAAAACGGGACACAAGCCAAGGGTGTAGGATGGTGTAGGACTTTCCCTTCATCCCGAAAGGTATCCCGATGCCTACCGTTGTTGGAAGAACTCGGCACAATCTGTTGCGGAACTTGTTCGTCAAGAGTATAGGTCAAGAATAATACTGACGTCGCACATTCTAGCATGAAAACGGTTCCTACAGCGCCTACAGGCGAACCAGCTCCCACTATGTCCACACATCAGCCTTTCGAGCTTTGGCGTTGCCCAGTCGCAGGTTTGCCTCACCGTTCTTATCTTCACCCCCTCAAAACATCACCCCACATGGCCCGCAACTCACAGCCAGGCCAATTCATGACACATCCACCAAGTTGGCGCCAGAAAACCCATTCGTTCGTCGCTTGTCCCGTTCCTTTGCTTTGATCATGATACACATCCGCCTCCAATATCCTTCATGTCCATCCCACCTGGATCATCCCACTTCGCACACCCACCCCACCCGCTCCACCCTCTCTCTCCCCAGTCGCCACGGGAGCTTCGGCTTCGCCGGCTTCGGTCGAAGGCAGGCGCAGGTGAAGGGCGGTGTTGGGCTCGACTTGATGGATATCCTGACCCGTCTTAAGGCTTAAAGCATCTGAAAGCTATTCCGCGACACACGTGTTGTTTTGTGTGCGGCAATTCGTTTAAAAGAAGCTTATACTATACAGTGATTTAGAAAAGTGGACACTAAACCCTCGTTTTATGTTGGCATCTTTTGGTTTCAGTTGATCTATCAGTCTGAATGCTTCTTAGCTTGACTGATTCCACTTGTAAAAGTTTGGATCAATGACATCAGCGATTGAGTCATTTCAGCTCATTCCCAGCCACACGCCGCCTTGCCTGTTCTTCAAAGCCCAAGCGCTCCAGCGCGGAGCGGTAGGAGGCGCAGGCAAAGCGCCCCAGAGCGGCGGAGGAAGCGAACCAAAGGGGCTTCGTGCCGAAGGGGTCCTGCGGGGAGAACCCGCCACACACCTCCTGGGGTGATGTGACATGATTGTGGATAGAACATGATCAAAACACCAACCAGGAGTCACAAAGGGGTGCTTTATGGAGGTTAGGGGTGCCCATTATCCACTCACTTGGAGACTAGACGCCGTCCCTTTATGGAGGTTAGGGGTGCTCCTTTGTGACTGCTGGAAGGAACACCGTCCCGTCTTGTATCGTGACCTGCAACATGCGAAGAGATGAAGAAGATGTATGTACCGGCCAGTTTGGCGGTAGAAGGTCTCGTGTAGCAGCAGGAGCTGGGTCTGTCTTCAGTCTTCAGTGAAAACCGTCAAAACACAGCTTTAACATGTTTCTACGGAAGGAAAGATCATACGATCCAATCCATCACAGGTGCCAGCTCCTTAACTCCAGAAATGTAATACAATCAGGATGTAGCTCCGAACTTCTTCAACCAAACACATATATATATATATATGACTGTTGGGTGCCCAGGCGAAATCCGCGCCGCGCCAGTCGCAAGAGCCCGGTCTCTCGGTCATCTCGGCCCCACCGACCGCTCCCGCGCCAAGATCAGCTCCCGGCGTTGGAAGTCGAAGAGCGCCAAGGCGAATTCGCCATCCAAGCGCCGCACGAAGCTGCCGCCGTGCCCTGGGGTCGGTCGGGGGTTCGCCGAGGTCGCCGCCAAGCGAGAGGTCATGCTTGGTTTCTCCGATCCTTTGTGGCCTAAAGAACGCCAAAGAAGGGGGCAAACTAATAATGCTTAAGACCAAAAAGGGAGAAAACGACGCCGTCTAGAATGGAAGACACCTCAGTTGGACGGCATAGATGAAAATTGGGAGCGAGAAGGCACGACGGCCCCATCGGCACACGGTGGACCGACGACATGCGGAGCCATGGACGCCACGTGGCCGATCGTGCCAGTCATTTGTCCTCCATATTGTCATAAGAGTCATACCCAAACATCTCCACGTATGCCATATATGCCTATACATGGCACAAGCAGCTGGCCGCCAAATGGCCAGCTTGCAGCTTGCCTATGACCCCTTTGAAGATGGATGCCAATAATTACACTTGGATCAACACAGCAAACTGGAAGATGTGAATCTATTTGTTGAACGCTTTCTGATTCTGGGATTCTAGCTCCGGTCCTATTCTGGCTGCTAGGCGCAGCTCTACACCCATCCGCCGCAACCGTAGTGTATGCAAGTTGCTTGGCTATACAAATCACATCCAGAAACGCCCTTAAAGAAACAAGGCGATCATGGCCACCCGAAAAATCAAGGAACTCTAATTATATAAGTTGCACTATAAGTTGCTACAAACTTTCTGTTTTCGTTGTTTATATACCAGGTGGACAGGTGGACCACGAAGAAATCATGAATTATATATATATAACAAGTCTGTGCTGTTCTCTTCAACCCGTTGGTAGGCTCCAAAGGAATTCCATTTCATCCAAGCCGCGTTGGTACTCGCTCAAAATGACCTCCCCATCACTGCGAAAGGATGAGCCGAGCTCCGAGCCGAGCTCCTCCCAGTTGTAAATCTCTCCTGACACCGGGTGAGAACGGCGCATACCTCTTGCAACATCGTTGGCATGTTTGTTCATGTTCATGCAATTGGTTTTTCGATATGCACCATCACAATAGACACGATCATGTCCATTGATGTTTCAATGACCCGCCAGTGGTTAGTGGTTAGTGAGTGTTCTCTGGGCGGTGGTTACTGATGTGACAGATTGAGGAATCCAAAATGCCAAATCCAAGAGTTCTAAGGTAACTAGGACGAGTCTCGGATCACATGCAACCCTTTTTCCCAGCACATTCCAGCGCGGTCTTTGGAACCTCCCATTTTTCTTGGTGTATTTCATCACTGACGGACGAACACACACACCTTGGAGGGCTTTCTTCACAAAAGCCGGAGGTTTTCTTAACAGGTGATCCTTGATCTGCAAGAACTTGCTCACCTGCTAACCTGCTCACCGTCTGCCAAGCTGACCGGTCATCTGCCGGTCTATCCGGACAGTCTGGTGTCGCTCTTCACCTCATGTCACCCCTGGAGCCGCCCCCTTGCCCGGCCCCGCCGCCGCCGGCACTGCAGGCACTTCAGCACTTCAGCCCACTTCCCACCGTCCGAGGCGCCATTGAAGAGCGCCACCAAGCGTCGGTCGGGATCATGAAACGGTTGCCTTGTGGGACCGGCTTTCCGGGAGCATGGCGGTGACAGCGATTTGAGCGTGCGCGTGGAGACGCTTCGGGTGGTCTCACGCCTTCGTGGAAACCAACGGGGTGCCAACTGCCGGATGCAGTCGTGGAACGTGATTCCTGTGAATCATGTGGATAAGACCATGCATCTTATTCCTGAAAAGAGGATTTCAAGAGCTGACGGCCGTTACTACTCGCCAGTAAGGCTTTAGGGTGTAAGTAACGATCATTCCAAAAACAAAGCACTTTTGTGCAAGTGCCTTTTTATGCCTTTTTGATAAAACAACATCACATTCCCCATCATTCCCCAAAAAGAACCACCAAACGAACGAGCAACGGAGACGAACGTGTTGGTGAAACATCCATCGTCAACCTTCACCCAACGCCGGGTTGGGCCACCACATATTAGACCAGAAAGGAACCACTACTGGGGATGACTGACCCTCCAAACTATGGGATTTGCCACACAAAATTGCAATTGGATGATTTCCTGGGGGGTCCCCTATTGGGAGATCCTGCAGGAGTATATAGGTGGAAAATGAGGAAACAAACTCCCTTTCAGGTAAGAAGTAAATGCTTCCCGAGACCTTCTGAATATACTTTGACCATCTTTGACCAGAATAGATGTGGCCCAAGTTCAAGCACCCCTACTTCCCCACCATCCCAACCCGAAGCTTTAAACAAACTGGGACCGCCAAAAGTGTGGCTGTTCACATCCACCGCGTAAAATTCGCTGCAGATATGCTGCTTGGAGAGCAAACGATGTTTCATCCTCACTCCTAGTTTTCCTGAAATGAAGGTGATCCGTTTTCATCCTTTTCCCATCTTGTGGCTTTTGAAAGGGGAAACCAACCTGGAAACCAACCAATCCCCCCCCAAAAAGGTGCTACAGGTGATCCACAAATCCTGGGTAGGCATCCATACCCAATACCACTCCCAATACCCACATGTGCCTCACGAAACAGGGCACGGACCAGTCCAAAAACCTTTCACGGAGGCTGAGCTGCAGGACCTTCTCGCCGGTCATGTGCAACAAGTTGTGCACAAAGTCGAAGCCTCAAACGACTCCAGTCGTCGTCATCATCGTCGTCATTTGATGCAACTGCTACAATTAAAACTGCATCATCATCATCATCGTCATCATCATCATCATCATCATC